TTCCCGGCGGCGCCGGCGGCGGCGCGTCCGCGCCGTTCGCCGCGGGCGCCGCGGCCGCGGGCTTGGCGTCGGGCTTGGGCCAGGGCCGCGTGGGCGGCGCGACGCGCTTGGGCTTGGCCGCGGGGACGGCGCCCGGCGGGGCGGCGCCCGGCGGCGGGCCCGCGGCCGCGCGCGCGGGCGCGGCGCCCTTGGCGCCGGCGGCGCGGGGCTTGTCGAGCTTCGTGACGTCGACGGCCTTGACGCGGCCCTTGTACTGCGCGACGCCGTACTCGACGAGGTCGCCCTCGCTGATGACCGTGCCCTCGCGGATGTCGATGGCGTGGACGAAGATGTCGGAGCCGCCGGCCTCGTCGGGCTTGATGAAGCCGTGCTTCTTCTTGGGGGTGTACCACTGGCACACGCCCGTGCGGCGCGCGTCGCCCGCGTCGGCGGCCGGGGGCGCCGGGGCCGCGGCGACGGGCGCCGCGGCGGGCGCCGGCGGGGCCGCCGGCGGGGCCGGCGCGGGCGCCGGCGGCGCGGCGGGCTCGGCCGCGGGCGCGGGCGGCGCGGCCGGCGGCGCGGGCGCGGGCGCGGGCGGCGCCGCGGCGGGGGCCGCCTCCTGCTCGGCGGCGACGAAGGCCTCGGCGGCGGCGGCGCGGAGCTTGTCCTTGTCCGCCTCCTTGCCGTTGGCCGCCTCCTTGGGGAAGCGGGAGGGGTCCGCGGACTTGACCTTGACGACGTCGACGGCCTTGGGGCGGCCCTTGAACTCGACGGTGGCGTACTCGACGGTGTCGCCCTCGCCGATCTCGTCCTTGACGTCCATGGCGTGGACGAAGATGTCGCGCCCGTCGCCCGAGGAGATGAAGCCGTACCTGGGGTTTCGGCGTCGAGCCGGGCGCGCGCGCCGCGCGGGGGGGGGGGGCGGGGGGATGGTCGGCGCCGCGCCGCGCTTCTTCTTCTCGACGAACCAGCGGCAGACGCCGGTCTGGCGGCCGCCCTCCTTGGGCTTGGCGGCCTCGGCGGCCGCGGGCGGCGCGGCGGCGGCGGCCGGCGGCGCGGCGGCGGCGGCCGTCGCGGCCTCGGCCTCCTGGGCCTCGGCCTTCTTGCGCGCGCGCGTGCGCTGGTTCGGCATCCTTGCCGGGGGGAGTGGCGCGGGGCTTCGGGGGCCTTAGTAAACTTGCACAAAGGGCGACGGGGTCGCCCTGAGCTCCTTGACTTTTCGACCGCACGAAACCGCTTAGTGGCTCCGGGGTACTGCCGCGCGACTTAGATGCGCGGCACGAGTGTCGGCGATCCCAAAACTGTGACCGCGCGACGAAGGCCCGCAGCGACCAGGCGGGCTCACGCGACCGAGTTCGCCTCACGCAACCGAGCTTGCGAGCGAGCGATATCTGCGCGACAAGGCCAAGGCGAAGCAAGGCATCCACTTGATACCGCACGGTACCGTGTCTGCGTTTACCCGAGAAGCGTATTGGCCGCAAGGGCAGGCCAAGACCGCAGCCAGCCGCCGGGGGTCGACCCAGCCAGCCAGCCAGGGACGTCCGGTCCACGAAACGACCCCTCGCTACAACCTCTACAACGCGCGCCTACGGCGCGCCGCGCCGTCCTGGGGCGGCTGCGGCGACCGGCTGGCCGCCGGCCACGCGCGTCGGCGCTCGCGCTTCCGTCACCCCCGGCGGCCACTCCGGGCGCCTAACTAGATTTTGACATGATTCCCGCGCGAAAATCGCAAGATTTGCACATGCAACGTCTACATTGAAGAAATGGGTGGCTCTCATTGGCCAGCCAGCCAGCCAGCCAACATCTACCTCACGGTCAGCCAAACCGGGTCCCGGCGGAGGGTTGTTATCGTGGACTGCCCTAGTTGGCCGGTAGCTCGGTGGCGCATGGGCTGAGGGGGTGCCACCCTGCGCAGCCCCCCATGGCGTCCACGCGGGAGAAGCACCTGAGCGCCCTCGGCGTGGCGAAGCACGCCGACGCGCCGACGATCAAGAAGGCCTTCAAGAAGCTCGCGCTCAAACACCATCCCGACCGGAACCCGGACAACGTCGCCGAGGCCACGGAGCGCTTCAAGGTCGTCAACGAGGCCTACACCTACCTGACGTCGACGGCGGGCCGGTCGGCGCCGCCCCCGGCGTCGGCGCCGCCGCCCGGCCGGCCGCCGCCGGCCCAGAGCGCCTACGCGGCGGAGCGGGCGCGCGCGCAGGCCGAGCGGCGGCGGCGCCGCGACGAGGCGGAGAAGCCGCGGCCGCGGCCCGAGCAGCCGCGGCCGCCGCCGAAGCCCAAGGCCAAGACGGAGGACGAACGGGACCTCGAGCGCGCGCGGCGCATGCACCAGGCCGCGAAGGAGCGCGAGGAGCAGCGGCGGAAGCGCGAAGCCGCGGACTCCGCGAAGGAGCGCGAGAAGGACCGCGAGCAGCGGCGGGAGAAGCGCGCGTCCAAGATCTGGGAGGAGGCCCAGGAGCGCGAGCGCGACGCCACCCAGCGCGAGGCCGCCGCGGAGCAGCGGGCCCAGAAGGCGCGCGACGACGCGGAGCGCGACCGGAGGACGCGGATGCAGCGCCTCGCAGCCGAGGCGCGCGCGCGCGAGTTCGCGCGCGCGGCCGCCGCCGAGGAGGCCGTCGCGCGCAAGAAGGCCGAGGAGGCCCAGGCCGCCGAGGCCGAGCAGCGCGAGCGGAGCGCGGAGCAGGAGCGGCGCTGGGACGCGGCGCTCCGCGCGTCCGCGAACGCGGCCGAGGCCGAGCTCCGCGCGGGCTCCGAGGCCGCGAAGGCGCACCGCGCGCGGTGGCGCGTCGACGGCGTCGACGACGACGACGGCATGACGGAGGACGACGCGGCCTGGTGGCGCGAGAACCGCGAGGCCGGCGACGATTTGGGCGCCGCGGAGCGCCTCTACGAGCGGACCCAGGCCCAACTCCGGCGGAACCGCGACGCGCGCGCGGCCAAGGAGGCCGCGGCGGCCAAGGGCGACGACTGGTCCACGGCGGACCAGGACGCCTTCTACGCCCAGTGCTGCGACGCCGCCGCCGCCGTCTTGGGCAAGGGCGGGTCGCGGCGCGACCCGGCGAGCCCCGCGGGCGAGGAGCTCGACCGCCTGCTGCGGGCCTTCGGGAAGCGCAAGGTCGGGCTCACGCCGACGCCCGACGAGGTCGCGGCGGACCGGCCCCGCCCGCGCGCGCGCGACGCGCCCCGGACCTTCGTCGCCGGCGCCGACGGCGCCGTGCGGCCCGCGCGGCGGTCGACCTTCGAGCGCGAGCCCCAGCCCTACGGCGGCGCGTCGTCGGACCGCGAGCCCCAGCCCTACGGCCAGCGCGAGCCCCGGCCCTACGGCGCCGCGGCGCCGGACCGCGAGCCCCGGCCCTACGGCGGCGACCGCGAGCCCCGGCCCTACGGGTCCGACGCGCCGGCGACGCCGCGCGCGGGCGTCGCCATGCCGACCTACGTCCGCGTCGTCGGCGTCGCGGCGACGAGCCTCGAGCTCGAGTGGGCGCCCGGCGACGGCGAGGCCGCGTGGCAGCTCCAGTGGTCCAAGGACGGCGGGCTCACCTGGGACGCGGCGCCGCGGACGTTGGAGGCGCCGCGCTGCCGGAAGCGGAACCTGCCGCCGGACACGCTCGTCATCTTCCGCGTCCGCGCCGTCGCCGGCGGCGACGCGTCCGCGTGGGCC